GTAACTTCTAACTCTTGTGATTTAAATTCTTATTCTCTTAAAGAGTTACAAGAAGCCTATGATGAATTGCATTTGGAATTTGAGACCATGAATTCCAAATATAAGAATTTGATTTCCAAATTTAAAGTGGAAAATGATTTTCTTTAGAAAGCAAAATTGGATTTTGAAAAGAAAAATGAAATTTTGAACAATGATTTTGAGGTTTCAAAATTCAATATCAATGATTTAGAAAAGGAAATTTTTTATTTGAAAGTTAAGCTTGAATGCTTAACAAAAGAAAACGAAATAATTTCTCAAAACAATTCATCATGTTGAAAATGACAAAATGCTCATTTTGTCATTTCTATGGTCACATTGGCATTGAAACTAACATTCAAGGACCCAAAGAAATCTGGGTACCAAAAAACAAAGTAAATGTCTCTTGTAGGTGTGTGGGAGCAATAGTGATAAAAATGAAGAAATTCAAATGCTTTAGCCACACAAAATGAGGAATGGGTAACCTCTAAACTAACTCTTTTTTTTTTTAATTTTACATAATTGGTTACCTATTTTGTTTTATGCATTCATGAGTAATTGAGCAAAATGATTATATGTTGTTTTTCATCTCATGTATGTTAAAAAGTATTATGATGAACATTTTAAAGTTTCAATGATATTTTTCTTTAGTTCATCATAATATGTTTTGGTCAAATTTGCTTTTAATTTTTTTTACAAAATTTTACTTTTGATCTTAAATTTAAATGTTTATGCATGTGGTTTTATTACAAATGATGTCTCTCTAACAATTGATATCAATTTTTTAAATGCATAACATCTTTTTTGATAGCTTTATGCATATGAATTTTAATGTCTAATGTTAATATTACATAAAGTAGTATAGACTTGGATTTATTGAATTTTACATGTTACTAACATGTTTGCTCATATTTGTTGAAATTCAATAGTTTTTAAGTGTCAAGTTTTTAAAGTCAATTTTTTTGGAATGCATTTGTTGAGGGGGAGCTTTTGGTTTTTTAAATGGTCTTTATGTTAAATTTTTTACTTACTCTCCATTATTGTTTTTGAGCTTAAATATTTGAATTATTTTTTATATAACAAAAATGGGGAGAAATATATGTTTGAAAAAATCAATTTCAAGAATGAAAAGGGAGAGCTTTAATATTTTTCCAACATATTACTTTTTTTCATTAAATGTTTTATTAAGGGAGAGTTTTGCCAAAAATATTTTTTCAAATGTTTTGTTATAGTAAAAAGGGGAGATTGTTGAACCTATTTTGATATAACAATTTTAAGGGAAAAAATATTTTTGGACTAAATTGAACTTATTAAAAATTTTAAAAATAATTCAAAGTCCATAAAATTTGAATTTGAACACAAAAAATGATTTTCTAGAAAAGAAGTACCAATATTGTTCTTACAGTATCGATATTGTTCTTGTAGTATCGATACCCAAGGTAAGGGAAGTATCAATACTCTCATGGCAGTATTGATACTGCCTATTTGTTTTAAATATGTCCAGATTCCAGTAGGCATTTTTGGTATCGATACTCAAAGGAGTATCAATACTACTTTGTATAGTAGTATCGATACCATGACCTAAGTACAAATACTCTCAGCCCAACAGTTGAAAAAAGACTAGTTTTTATTAGTCCAATATCGATACTCCAAGTTCGAGTACCGATACTTCTTGGTCTGTGTAGTTTTATTTTGCAGCAATTAAGTCTCCAACAACTCCAAAACATTTTCAACAGCTAGAAACAATCACAAACACATTCCAACATATAAAATGAATTTCAAGACACTTGATGAAGGTTACACAACACCTATACAAGCATTGATCATCAAGAGAAAAGCTTCCATTCTTTATTCTTTATTTTCTCTTGTAAATAGTGTGTTTTTAGTGAGTTTATTTTGTAATCACTTTCTTTTGAGAGGTTTCTTGTTTACATTCTTTTTATTCTTTTGAAAATGGGGTTTATTTCTAGTTTAGCCATTGAAAACTAGGGAGTTGTAAAAGGTTACTCTTGGGCCTAGAAAAAGAAAGAAAAAAAATTAATGAATGTGTTAGAAATCCTAAGTGTGGAGCCAAGGTAGTGGATGTAAATTTCATTGAGGAAGTTGAACCACTCTAAATACTTGTGCAAAATTTCTATTTTTTCTTTCCATACTCCAAAATTTTTTATTTAGCCAATTCACTCCCTCTTGACACTTTCTTGATTGATCGATAGAGCATCATAAATCCCAACAAGAGGAAACCAAACAAAATTAAAGAAAAAACAAAAAAAAAGGAGTGAGAAAAAAATCAAAAAAAGAAGAGAAGATTTGCCTTTTTCTGGATAAGACGATTATCGTTGATTCATTGGAGTCAGGAGAGTCCTCTGAGCATAGAAGATAACCTCTTTACTTTTTGGGTCTTCATTTTGGTCGAGAGTAGGACATAAAGGGGGAGCTTTTAGGTCTCTGGGCTTCAATGTTTTGATTTTGGAGAGATGAATGATTGAAAGGTTATTTTTGGATTCAATTTTGGCGTTGTGGCCATCGACTTACGGTGACCAGAGGGAGTTGTTTCATCTTTCATGGTGAAAGAGAGAATGGGGAAAGGATCTTTTTAGGTTCTCCATTTTAGATAAAAGAAAAAGAATTAACAAATGAGGAAAATGATCATTTTTTACCTAATTTCGAGCTTAAATACTAACTGCCAAATGACACCGTTTTGGGTGATAAGGTTCACTGTGTTTTGGGAAGGGTAAATAGCAAGCTAGGTCACCTTGTTTTTGTAACTTTACATTTTAGTCATTACTCGAGGTTTATTATATTTATGTTTTGAACCCCTTTAATTTCTTTACGTTTACATTATGATCTTGCATGTTTGAGATATTGTTTTAATTTGTTAAATATGATTTTTGGGCTTATTTGCATGTTTAGTCATTATTACCTTTACTATATTATGATTTAATCCCTATTTCAAATGGTTAATATGTATTTTAGACCTTGTACCTTTTTAATATGTTATTTTAATCCATCTATTTTAAATATATATATATATATATATATATATTAAAGGTAACTCTTTTAATAACTTTAATACATGTAGTGTATATTTTTAACAAAAACATCATCTTAATGTTTTAGTATTTATGAGATATTTGTTGTTCGATTAATCTATGAAATGCCTCTAAAACCTAGAATATCATTCCAATGGTTATTCGAATAGAAAATATATATATTTTGTTACTACTTATTATTTATTTATACTTTATAATATTTAAAAGTATATAAATATATTTTAAATATAGGTACCCTCTTTTATAAACATTTGTATTTTATAATAAAACTATTTTAATATAAATAAATTATATTTTGTTTTGTGGTAACGTCTTGAACAAAGAGTAATCTATGGGAAAACATCAAAAAACTTGTATTGTGATTCTTTAAGACACGAGTGAAAAGATATCTCACCAAATTTTAAATCTTAATAAATATAAATATTATGTGTGTTATATGTCTTTATTATTGGTCTCGTTCTATTTGACATTTCATTCATCATGTACATATAATTTATTACTGTTGCATTTATAAATCATTTGTTTTCTCGTTTCCTAAAATAATTAAAGGCAATGTTGTCTTGCGTCATAGGTTACTAGAATTGCGTCTAACACGACTGGATTTCAATTTTCGGTAATTCACGTAATAAGGGTACATTCTTTTTAAATAAAATAGAGTGAATTAAATCGTTTTCATTAAGTCAAGTATTTTAGAAAAGAGATTCACTCATTTTTTAAATTCGTAGAAATAAAAAGATCGTAATTTTAATTTTGAATTCAAATTTGTAAAATTTCACTATTTTAGACAACATATAATCGAAGAGTGTCAATTTTAGGCGCTGTGGAAGTGCTCACCCTTCACCACACATAATTGACTCTTAGATCCTTAAAACGAATTAATAGTTAAACGCAACCTATTTCCATCTTTTAAACAAAAAAATTATTTTAAAAGATATTTTAATATATTCGACCTATCTAACCCCAAAATCGATAATGACTCCAAACTTGTTTTAAAAATAAAACTCAAATTCGACCTACCTAACAGTCGATAATGACTTCAAACTTGTTTTAAAAATAAAACCAGAATTTCTTCAATTATAATCGAGAATTCTTCAATTATAGTCGAGTAACGTTCTTGAGCTTAAGGACCGGACAAGTGACTCTCTTGAGCTTAAAAACCGTTATGACAAATCGCTTAATTATAATTTTTAGAATCATACATAATGATATATTTTAAATCTATCGTGATTATCGATTGTTAAAAATTTAACAACATTATTGATATTATATTTTTTTCATTATTGTCGTAATATTACCTTACAATAACACATTAGAAGCACTGTTAAATTTTACAACGAATGATCCAAACATATCTTAAAGTAAGATTTTAAAAGAAAATAATAGTCGGATATAACAGAAACTAATAATAGGTAAATAACCAAATAAGTAATTAACCCTTTAATTTACTACAAAACCCCTAATTCGATTAGAAAAAGACTTAACTTTTATAATAATTATATACAAGAACCCAAAAAAAAAAAAATGAGAAACAACATTTACATATCGCACATTAATAATAGATATAAACACGTTTATCGAAGGTTTTTTCTTAATAACCATCAAGTTAGTTCAAATAGTAAGCAACTTAATATCGCCCAAACACCACCAAAACAAGGTGTGTGACACGGTCAGAATTAATTAAGACAAAACCTTAGAACCAAAAGAACAACAGAATAAAAAGTTCTTTCTTAATATACAAAAAAAACAAAACAAAACAGAGATAATACAATTTTCTTACGGAACCTAAGACCAAATTATACTGTAACAGCATATACCAAACATGGTCACGGACGACATCTAGCAATAAAAGAAAAACACACATTCATAAGAGGCAAAAGGCAAATGTATTCGTCAATTAGTTATTATTTATTAATAATAATGTTCATTTTCATTTCCACCATGCCCTTTTCTTTTGTTTTACCCCCATCTAATGTCCTCAAATGTTAGTTATAAATGCAATGTACCATGTTTCACCAGCGGCGGCTGTAGCAGCACTATTCTTCTTGCCTTGGACTCCCTTCACCGCCACCTTCTTCAAGCTGAACCCACACACCTTGATTTTGTTCCCCTCCGTTTTCCCAAGTTTCTTGCCTTACACTCCTGTTAATTGTATCGCCACCATCAGAAAACTGTGCCCACACGCTTCGGCTCTTTCCCCCACCGCTGAATTCTTCCTCGCAGCCTGCAACTGTCTTGAGTATCTCCGACTGCAGTGACGGGCAGTTTTCTTTGAGATACTCGAAACCATCTGAGCGCATAACAGCTGCATCGAATACAACAATTAGTTACATGGCAAGTTAGGGTGCTGAGAGAAAAGTGGTTTATTATATGAATAACGAAAAGCTTAGTTCTGAAGAGAAAAATTCTTCACTAACAGAAGAGAATGACCACAAGAGATCTTAGCTAATATCGACCTTACTAATGGGCAGGGACAGGCTGGCTTAGGCTTGGAAAACACAACAGAAGCCTGACCTCAAACAGGCAAGGCTAGCAGGCTGGCACCAGCAATGCTAGAGCCGAAAACGGAAAATATGACCCATCTCAAAAACCAAGTTCTCCCTAAATCTGAATGCCTAGCATCATCTCAAGACATTCTTGGATTTGGAATACACATAGACATGCCATGAAAGCGAAATATTCAACTTTTTCCATGCTCATCATACATGTGAATGCTGAGATTGAACATTATCTCAAGACATTTTATCTTAAAAACTAGTAGTTTATCATTAACGGGCAACCATACTTTATCTCGATCATGACAACATCAACCATTTCTATGTAATGCAATATTTGGAAAAGCAATAAACGAAAGGAAGAATTTACCAACAAGATTTTCAGCTGCGAATTTTAAGCAGACAGCTTTTAGATCCATAGCATGATGACGATCAGCAAGGGCTAAAATGTTTGCGACTGAGTTCACAGATATTTCCTTGCAGAGTACAGACTCACATATCAATCTAAGTCTAGGTAAGTCATATTTGTCTGCAGCTTCCAACAATTTTGCTGTTAATGCATCAGGTACGGATGACATACAAGATGAACTAGTCCCGGAAAGCTCCTCAACCTCAACAAGGCTGTCTCTGTAGATGAAGTGCAGCAAAGCCTGCCGAAACAAATGTCAGGAAAATACGACAACCATATTGACAGTAAATTCTAATGCCATATAAAGAGCAATAAAATGAATTTAGCAGTATTACAACCAAATCCAAGGTAGATGAAATGGGGTAGAACATGCTACCTTAAAAACCCTGGGCTCCATATTTGTAACAACTATTTCGTTATCATCTTCTTCCATCCGATCAGAAAATTCAGCTTCAAATACAGGGGACCTAGCAGCTAACACCAGCTTGTGAGCATGAAACTTTTCCCCAAACACATTAAAAATAATATCTGAACCTTCTTCATTTTCCAATAACATGCCAAAATGGGAGCCAATATCAGACTCAGGGACCTGTATGGAATGCAACCTTGGGCAGTCTATTTCTGAAACCACAACACCAACAGTGCAATTTATTTTTAAGCAATCATCCTTCAGGAAATCAGATGTTTCAAGCATAGCCCGCCTGAAGAAACGCTTGTATCCCCTGAAAACAAAGAAAACATCGAAAGTAAAAATGAGTCACATGTCAAAACTTAGGCAAGCAATTGCATTCAAATTATATGCTTCAGATAAGATAGGAGGAGAGAAAAATAAATTTGGTTCCGAAAGAAGTATTGATCATTATATAACAGTTAACTTTTGCTGTGTGTATATATATATATATATATGGTAAATGTACTAAAATCCATCATGTATGGATCTTGTTCAGAATTATTCTAATCCATATTTGTCCATTGTTGACTTTATAGTTAGCGTTTTCAACAATTAATAACTAGTTCTAGTGGTACAATAGAAAAAACATTTAAGGCGATAAACTCTTCGTAAGAGATTACTAGAGCCATGTATGACAATTAAACAGTTATGTTCTATGTTGCTCCAACTCTTACATTTTTGCTGAAGAATTTCTGTCGGACACATATTTAGATATAAATATGAAAGCAGGACCCTCTAAATAAACGGAAATACTTAGAAAAATGAACAGACCTGTCAAACAGATACACGTGCCAACATTCAGCCCCCAATCTGAGTAACATACGGTATGGTTTAAAGTTGAAAAGTGGACAAGACAAACATCATAGGTGAACTAGGAGAAGAGATTCCTCACATGGTTGAAATCCAATGATCATAATAATAACTTAGTGAGTACAATCTATTGAGATTTTATCTTGGGAAGAATTAAAAAATGTTAACTTGAAGGAACCAAATATTTAATTCAAAGATATGCTAATAGCGTGAGAGGATTTTAAAAAAGGCAGAAATTGTTCCTCATCTCCTTTGACTTCCTCATAACCACACAGACACAAAGATATAGATATCGTAACAGAACTCCAAGAACAAATAAGGCACTGAGATACTATCTCCTTCCATGTTCACATATAGGCAAAGAGAGGGTACTCATGTAGAAAGAGTTTATGGAAGTGTTAACACTGGGAAGTGGATCTCATAAATGAAAGGATCTTCCGTTTGAATCTTTTTCTCATTTTCTCTATAGGAGACAAATAACCCATATAAATGCATGCATCCCATGCAATCTGGTGTATCTATGTGCTGGCTAAGTATTTATCTGCACCAATAATTCTTCTACCATCTATTCCTTTTGGTTGAACATTTATTATTTAATATTCTGTCTTATGCTAGTTCTATTTCCTTAAACTTCACTGTCTTGTGTTTTCTTTCTTTTTCAGCTCCCTTCGGAAAATGAAATTAAGTCTACTTCAGTTTCAAGTAAAATTAATTTCCTGCCGAGAAGCTTTAACAGAACTTGCATGTCATGACTATGATAGACTGACCATTTCTTTGTTAGTCTAGGACATAGACAGATGCTTATCTTAAGAATGTTTATTAACAAATTATGATGGAACTGTGACTATAAAAATCATACCAGAAACTTACTCCATTCGCTTGAAGAGGCAAATAACCGCATTGATAGTTTACAATTACATATGATTCGAAAAAGTTTAAGAATAAATGCAGGTTTGGCAGAGATAGACATACCATGAACTTACAAGCCTGAATCTAAAAGAGATTTGTTTTCTCTGTGACAAGATCACTTGCTTTGGTAATGTAGCAAACATTTCACCTCATTTTGACCTAAAAACTCGGTAAAATGGTATATCATACTTGGGTGTGCAATTACAAGTTCCACAGTTTCCATTGGTGCCAATTAACATAATTAACTAGAATCTGTTCTGATTAATCCCTTCTATTAACATTCCTAATCTACTGATCCCAATTTTCAATTCCTTAATGATTCTCTTTTTTCCAGTATTTATTTTTCTCAGCCCTTTAAAAAAATTTGTACAAAATACCCATCACAAAACTTAACTACAAAAAATATAACAATTACAAACCAATGAACTAGAAATAATCAAAATTATCTTTGATTTAGTTCGGAATAGAAGGGAGCATTGTGTGACCGCTCGAACCTATAATTCTAACTCATATCATCCGTCCTTAGAACTTGAGCAGCAAACTTATCCTCAATTCCCATTGCATTAATCATACATCCTTCATCAAAAAATCATTTCTCATTCAGTCTAATTCTTCAAGAGCATCAATATTTGGCCATTCCCCCAGTTTTCTAACACTTATTTCCTTAACCTACTTCCAAAGTTATTCAAACCCAACAACCAGAATTCCACCACCCCCCCAAAAAAATTTAACTAAGAATTTAAAGAATTCAATCGTTAACCTTACTCCAACCATTTTTCCTAAAATATTAAAAAAAATCTGCCAAAAAATCAAAAGAAACAACGTTCATGAAAATTAAAGAAGGCCCAAAAAATAAACAAATTCAGAAACGAAGAAGAAATTTCCTTACCACATACTTCCCCTATACTTAAGCGTATATGGGCCGCTCTCGAGAGCTCGATCGAAATGGCTATGAACTTTATGTTTCCCTTTCCCACTTTGGTCCAGAAGAGTTAACTGGAAAAGGGCTCTAACATCGGTGCCTTCGCTTGCTAAAGCCACGAAAACGGAGACATATGTAGAATGATCTTCAGAGTTTTTGCCATCGGGGTAAAAGTAAATTGCCCATTGATAACCTCCCACGGTGAAGGTCTCGCTGGCTATGTGTTTGCCTACGCCCATGCCTTTGGCTAAGGAATAGCCCTTGATTGTGAAGTGGTGGGAGCCATTGACGGTCTTGGTTACAGACCGGGAGCCCGTCGGCGAGCCCAAGGGAGATGACGGCATGGGTCGGTGGAGTTTTGAGGGTTTTCCGGGGAAACTGACGGACAAAGAAAAGGGGGAATGATTTTGATTGCTCTGGAAGATATTCCTTTGACGTTTTAAACTTAATTCCATTCTTTATGAGTTCAAATTAAACATACATAGTTTAAATAATTTTAAAATAAATAATTTATTTTTCGAACATTTCACTATAAAGAATTAAGGATAAACTATAAATTTAGTATTTCAGCTATTAATTTTGTTTTGTTTTAGTATTTGAATTTTCATTTGTCTCGAAACTATACTTAACGTTTATTTTTTTTCATTTTAGTGATGCAATTTTTTATGGGTATATTACATCTTTCCTCATTTAATTATCTTCACACTCCTATTTTGGTCACTAAAATTTAAAGCATTTCAACTTAACTATTCAACTTTCAAATTGCTCCTATTTTAATCACTCTAATTTATTTATTAATAATTTTTGTGACATTATATTTTTTTATTATTTTATTAATATTTTATTAATATATACTTAAAATAAAAAATTAAATTTGAAAGTTATACTGATTAAATTAGGACTAATATGAAAATTAAATAATTAAATTAAAAAATCAAACTTTAGTGGCCAAGATAATAGTGAGAAGATAGTTGAAAGTTAAATGAAGTAATTTACCCATAGAAAAGGCCACACACAACTCACCCATTAAGTTTTGAACGGCGAGGTAATAAAACGAAATAAAAACTGAATGTTAAATATGGTTTTGAAACAAATGAAATTTTAGATACTAAAACGAAACAAGATTAATAGTTTATGTACTAAATTTATAGTTTGCCCTAAAAAAACTTGTGGAAAACGTCTTAATATCATGGGACTATTGTATAATTTACCGTGTTTTCCTATTAAAAGTTTTTCAATTATATCTCCGGTAATGAGGCTTTAGATGTATTGACGAGATTGAGAATATTCAGATTCAATATTTCATATGTTACCTTGAATAACACAGATTCAACGATCATTATTTTTAAACGTCCCAAATTTAAAAACTACATATATAATAATATTTAAATATTCATTGTCAAATCTTAACGTTATAAATAAAATAAATTAGATTGAAAGAGTATTACTTTATATGTATCCGTGTTCGACGCATATCCGAACATGGTTGTCAATAACCAGACCCTCCAACAGAAAGCACTCATATCTGGCACACACTCGAATCCATCCCAGTAACATAACCGCATACGATTCCCAAAGCTGGGGCTAAATTTCCAAGGAGGAGTAGTTACCATCAATTATCTACCTCAGCTGCTACAAGTTAAATAATTTGAACCCGCCGGAGCCTCGTTCCTCTTCACAATCAGATGAACACGATTTGCTTCCAACCGATTCTTCTGAACTTTCACATGGAAGGAGTTTTATCCTGTCAGCGTGTTCAATCATCCAATCTGTAAATTCTGGGGTTGCTGTCAATTCTGCCATGGCATCCCGGGTGGATTCGCGGCTGAAATCTTCCCATTCTTGTTTCGTGAATTTGTTCCGATTACGCGTCTTGTGAAAGGTAGAATAATAATCTCGATCATTCGTGCCACCTACAACGTTTAAAAGAACCAAATCAGATCATTCGTGCAAGGAAGAAAAATAAAATGGTGCTCCAAGAAAAATGTGCTATTATGAACTGTGACATACCTTGAAAAGCAGTACCTCTTGCAGGAAATCTAGTCCATGCCACTGAAGTCGTCGGAGTATGTCTATTCCACACAGTTCTATCAGAATACATTCTCGGAGCCCTATTAAAAAAGTCGGCACGACTTTGGTTTATCATTCCCTGCCTTGACCGGTGCACCCAAGGACTCCTGTCCCAAGAATGTGGTTTGTGCCTACATAAGCCAAAATGCCAAATTCATGGTTCAGTTAAATCAAGGCTATGAATGGAAAGTAAGACTTACAATCATTTGTTGAATTTAGCTTTCAATTAGACAGTTTATGTGGCAACGGATATCGAACCGAAATCAGGGGCAGTCTTATTATGCGACTAGTAAGTGGAATGAATACAAACAAAGACTTTATCAAACATAGACTAACAGAATCACCTTCTTCCGGCACACATGAATTGTAAAATTGAAAAGAATAAGGTAATTATGTTTAACTTACGAATGACATTTCCTTCTTGTTGATGTAATAAAAGAACAAATAGCAGAAGAAGAAGCCAATGCCACCACTGCTAGCCAAGTATCAAAAGTGCTCTGGAGAGAGTAGAAAAGGGGTGCAAGATAGGAAAAATAGGCATAAGATATCCTTTTTGAAAGAAGATCTTGAGGTTGCCAGCTATGTTGCTCAGGCTCCAATTTTTTTCCCTATATCCATCCATGTTTGACACCCATGTCTGATACATATTTCGTACTCAATAAGGGGAATGACCTACAAGGATCCTCAAAATACATGGAAAATATTACACATATCTATGTCGGACACATACTAATGATGCTCGCACCCGAGCTCGAGTAAACATCGGTTGACAAGGTTTGATCCCTAATAATTGGAACTAAAATATAGCACTCTACCAACTAACCATATGATTGTTGACAAACCATATGCTTCTTTCTTTTAATGGGGTCCCCGAAACTATAAAGGGGCATTAAGGTCTTTTTTTTTATAAGATTTGAAAGTCTCATTAAAAACCACCTTCTTGATTAATGGAGTTTATGTGTAAACTCCTTAATCAACGGAAGATGGAAAAGAGTGCCTTAGAACTTTATTAAATAAAGTATGAATTACAACCTAGAGAAAGAAAACCCAATAACCCTTACAAGTAGCTACTCGAAAAATCAAAATACATAAAATTCAGCCTATACCAGCCTTTGCTACGACATCAGCAACCATATTAGCTATCCTTGCAACCCATCTAACAATTCCCCCACAAAACCTAAGTTTTACAACTATATCTTTAACAATAAAAGCATATACAGCTAGACAAGAATCAACTTTGATAATCCAGTCCACTGCAACCCTGCTGTCACTCTCAACAATCAATCGAAATTTTTCCCTCCCTTGTATAGATGAGACGAAAACAAGTCCCCTTTGAATAGCTTTGAGTTCCTTCAATGTCGGAGGACCCGAACCATCTGACTCCTGAAAAGTTCCTAATATTACACCAAGATGATCCCTTAAAATGCCTCCCAACCCGCTTTTCTTCCAATCACTACTAGTGGCAGCATCCACATTCAATTTAATGAAGCCTATAGGAGGAGGACACCAGGGAATAATAGAAGACTTCAAGAACTTGTAGGACGAATAAGAATCCCCTATTGAAGGGTCCGAAATTAACGAGTCTTTAGGAATAGAGATATCCTTATATTTAGCTAGGAACCAAGAAGCAAGCCTGACTCTTGCTAAAAAGAATAATTCAATCTGATCCAACTTCCCCCCTTCAAAAACAATAAAATTTCTGGTTTTCCAAATGGTTCAAATAACAAACCCAGAAATGAATGACCATATAGTAGAATTTGGCTTCAACTCTTCCCAGCCTAAGAGGAAAGTTTTAGCATCTTCATGAAGACCAGAACTAAAACTCCACAATTGTAAAAATTTATTCCATAATGCCCACACAACCAAACAAGAAAAGAATAAATGCGAGGAAGACTCTTCAACCTTTTTACAAAAAGGACAAAAAACATCATCAATTCCTTTAACTCCTCTTCTTGCCAATTCTGTTTTAACAGCAAGGTTTTGCTGCACAATTTGCCACAATAATGTTCCAACTCTTGGTGGTAGTAATCCTCTCCAAACAACCTTCATCCAGAATTGAACCTCTTCAGAACCAGTAGCACAGTTCTTAACACAATAACTGACTGTAAACATACCATCCCCACTGCCTTTCCAAATCAAGCCATCACTGGATTCCTTAGACAGAGAAACAAAAAAATAGTGTTCATCAAGTTACACCATTGTTCCATCTCCCAATCATTTAAATTTCTTCTAACTTGAACATCCCAAATCCAGCCCGATGGATGAAAATCTCCAAACTCACAAAGTTTTCCTGATTTATTAGTAGCAATCAAAAACAGTCTTGGAAAAAGGACATGTAACGGATAATCTGTTGCCCAAACATCCTGCCAAAATTGAATGTGCTTACCATTGCCAACTTGAAAGATACATAAGGAACGAAAATTAGAACCAAATGGATCTTGCTTGAAATAATTATTAACCACTGATCTCCACTGCCAAGAAGTACAAGCTGGAAGTTTACTGTCAAACAATAACCTAGAGGAATCAAAACTGTATTTAGAACAAATAAATCTCCTCCAAACAGAATTTCTCTCGTTTGCAAATCTCCAGGACCATTTCCCTAGCAAAGCTCTGTTCATGTAATTCAAATTACGTACTCCCAACCCTCCCTCATTCTTAGGTTTACACACTTCAGCCCATTTAACCCAGTGAATTTTCTTTTTACCATTGCCACCTCCCCATAGAAAATTAGACATAATAGAATTGAGAGCCTTAAGGATTGAAACGAATCTTAAACATTAACAAAAAATATATGGGCAGTGAGCATAAGACAGATTTAATCAAAACCATTCTTCCAGCTAGTGATAAAGTCGCTGCCTTCCAACCTGCTAATTTTGAGTGAAAATTATGCACCATCGGTTCCCAAATAACTAAGGAATTCTTTATTGCACCTAGAGGCAGGCCTAGATAATTAGAGGAAAAACTACTCACTGCACAGCCAATGGAATCTACCCAAGTTTGAACCTCCTCTAGAGATATATTTACGCCGAACAATCTGCTCTTCTTGAGGTTTAGCTGCAGCCTAAACATAACCTCAAACACTCTAAGCACTCTCTTCACATTCATAATCTGCATCTTTGAAGCCCCACAAAAAATGATTAAATCATCTGCAAATTGTAAGTGTGTAAGATTGAAAGACCCTTCCTCCTTACCAATTTTCAAACCAGAAAATAATCCCTTTGAAACCGCCCTTAGGATTAGTAAATTCAACAATTCCCCTACTAGATTAAATAATAAGGGAGAGAGTGAACAACCCTGTCTTAGCCCCTTTTCCATTGGAAACTCCTCCGTTGGAACCC